TATGGCAAGAATACTTTTCCTCTGGGTGGATCTTTGTCTTGACTCTTGTGTTCTTGGTCTTGCAGCTCTTCTATTGTCTGAGGTGGAATTGAATTGCCGTGGGTTTTTCGGGCTAGCCGTGTTCCAGTAGCATTCTTTCCTGACGTTTTGCCTGAATCTGTGGCTGGCATCCTCAGAGGTTTGTTCTGAGGTCTGTTGTAAATGAGGCAAGTGGACTGTCCAGGGTGGGGAAAAGAATCCTTGTCTGTTTGAAGCAAGTGTGAATGTTTCAATTGGCAAGCTTGAGTAGCCTTGTAGCTCCAAAGTCAATTAGTTCAGCAAAGGATAAGAGGGATCCTCTCACCTGATCTCAGAGCACCTGATGAACCAACCTGGACACAGCATATTATTTGAGAAAAAACCTACAACAACCCAGTGATTCCGGCCATGAAAGCCTTCGACAATACATTGTGAATCCTCCTTCTCCCCTTGCTCTCCCAAAACAACACTCCACGTTTCCTTTTCCTCCTCCCTGACTCTTTATAGAGGTTACTATGACTCTAGAAGGCTCCCCTCACCCTACGAAGCCACGACGATGCTGGCAGCTCTAAAGTGAGAAAGCCCCGCCCCTTCATGGAGAGCCGGAAGTAGCTTCTGCGTCCGGAAGCGGAAAGGCGGGGCTCGTGAGCTGTTGGCCGAAGTCGTCTCTCTCGTGCTTCCTCTCTTCAGTCCGCTCGCTCAGGTAGGCGGTCCTGGGTGGGTCTGCCTTGCCATTGTGATCCTTCGGATTTGTTTTGTCATTTAACAGTCGAAGGATGGGTTTTTTTTTAGTCTACATAGACTAACTTCGCCCTTCCAGGTGTTTTGGACTCTCAGCTCCCACAATTCCTAACCGGCTGTTAGGAATTGTGGGAGTTGAAGTCCAAAACATCAGAAGGGTCGAAGTTTGCCTGTGCCTGATCTACTAGCTTATTTCAAAAAGGCATAGCTTGTTTTTGGATTTTGTGAATGCACCCATTAGAAATTCTTGCAGATAAAATCCTAGAGTTGGAAGAGACCTCATGGGCCATCCAGTCCAACCCCCTGCCAAGAAGCAGGAATATTGCATTCAGATCACCCCTGACAGATGGCCATCCAGCCCCTGTTTAAAAGCTTCCAAAAAAGGAGGCTCCACCACACTCCGGGGCAGAGAGTTCCACTGCTGAACGTCTCTCACAGTCAGGAAGTTCTTCCTCATGTTCAGATGGAATCTCCTTTCTTGTAGTTTGAAGCCATTGTTCCGCGTCCTAGTCTCCAAGGAAGCAGAAAACAAGCTTGCTCCCTCCTCCCTGTGGCTTCCTCTCACATATTTATACATGGCTATCATATCTCCTCTCAGCCTTCTCTTCTTCAGGCTAAACATACCCAGCCAAGAAGCAGGGGGCTGGAAGCAGGGCCTTTTCGGTGGGGACGAGAGAGAGGGCCTTTTCGATGGTGGCCCCTCGACTCTGGAACTCACTTCCTAAGGACATCAGGCATGCCCCAACTTTGGCAGTCTTTAAGAGGAGCTTGAAGACGTGGTTGTTCCCGTGTGCCTTCCCGGAATAATGATCCCATAGCACTTTGTCCTCCAAAGCACTTTAGCTGATCTGGCCGGGGTGGTCCATGCCTTGGTCACCTCGAAATTGGACTACTGTAATGCACTCTATGCGGGGCTGCCCTTGAAAACGGCTCGGAAATTTCAACTGGTCCAATGGGCGGTGGCCAGGTTGTTAACTGGTGCTCCTTACAGGGAGAGGTCAACCCTCCTGTTTAAGGAGCTCCATTGGCTGCCATTCATTTTCCGGTCCCAATTCAAGGTGCAGGTGCTTACCTACAAAGCCCTAAACCAGGGGTCCTCAAACTAAGGCCTGGGGGCCGAATACAGCCCTCCAAGGTCATTTGCCCGGCCCTCCCTCAGGGTCAACCTAATTCTGAAATGACTTGAAAGCACACAACAATAACAACAATCCTATCTCATCAGCCAAAAATAGGTCCACACTTCCCATTGAAATACTAATCATTTTATATTTGTTGAAATTGTTCATCATTTTAATTATTGTATTGTTTTTAAGTGTTTTTGCACTACAAATATGATATGTGCAGTGTGCACAGGAATTCATTCATTATAATCCGGCCCTCCAACAGTTTGAGGGACTGTGACCTGGCCCTCTGTTTAAAAAGTTTGAGGACTCCTGATCTAGACACTATGCTCCTATTAATGCAGGCCAAAATCCCATTGGCTTTTTTTGCCGCCACATCACATTGTTGGCTCATGTTTAACTTGTTGTCCACGAGGACTCCAAGATCTTTTTCACACGTACTGCTCTCGAGCCAGGCATTGTTCCCCATTCTGTATCTTTGCATTTCGTTTTTCCTGCCAAAGTGGAGTATCTTGCATTTGTCCCTGTTGAACTTCATTTTGTTAGTTTTGGCCCATCTCTCTAATCTGTCGAGATCGTTTTGAATCCTGCTTCTGTCCTCTGGATGGGGTTGGCTAATGGGGTTGGCAGTAGTGGGTGAAGGTACTGCAACTCCCATCATCCAGGTTCCTATTCCCCAAAACCCCATCAGGATTTAAAGTGGGTCATGGGACATCTATGTGCTAAATTTGGTCCCGATCCATGGCTAATGGGTTTCACAGTCGTCTCTGGATGTCGGTCAAAGTACTGCAAATCCCACATCATCCAGGTTCCTACCCCCCCCCCCCCAAAAAAAAAACAACCTCCACCAGGACTTAAAGTGGACCATGTGGTATCTGTTCCAACTTTGGTCCAGATTCATGGCTGATGGGTTCACAGTTGTCTCTTGATGCGGGTGAAGGTACTGTGACTCTCATCATCCAGTTTCCTACCCCCCCCCCCCAAAAAAAAAAACCCACCAGGACTCAAAGTAGGTCATGGGGTGTCTGTGTGCCAGGTTTGGTCCAGATCTATGGCTAAAGAGGTTTGCAGTAATTTCATGATGCGGGGGAAGGTACTGCAACTCCCATCATCCAGAGCTTTTCCCCCAAGAAACCCTACCAGAACTTAAGTGGGTGCCACTGTGCCAAGTTTGGTACAGATTTGTCATTGGTGGGGCTCACAGTTGTCTTTGGAAGCGAGAACCAATAGGAAAGCTGCCGCAAACTTACACAAATCTTGACAAGAAAAACACCATAAGTAGGATCAGCTTGGGTTGATTAGAATTGTCTGAAAAATGCAAAACACAAAAGTGAGTTCCTTGGAGAAAAGGCTAAATAAGCTATCTTGTTTCCTAGGGAAGTTAGAAGATGGATATTCGACCAAATCACACACTTTACATCAATAATGTTAATGACAAAATTAAAAAAGAAGGTAAGAAAATAGCTCAGATCTTTTATTCTACTGTGTTCTGGTGCCTAGGTTCAAGATATGTGTGTGTGTGTGTGTGTGTGTGTTCCAGCTTATAATTTTCACTCTCTAGTAGGCTTTGTCTTTAACTGTTTTGGTTGTTATTGGAGTGAACTGTTTAATATCTTGACAATTAGCTGTTGTCCTTTTGGCTGCAGTTCTTTCCACTTTTACCTGGACACAGCAGGATTTTCTTGTGAAGACATATATTTAAGATTGCACTGAAAACTATTTATACAGTATTATCCACAAATTTGATATCCATAGTTTCAATTACCCATACTCCAAATTTATTTGTGGGCCTTTCTAGGTCCTCCAGTGTAAATCCAGCAAACGTGCAATCAAAATATAGGGTTTACTATTGCCCACAGTGTCAGGTATCATTTCTCCAGTAGATATCAAGGTCATACTAGTTTTACATTTTGGTGAAAATGGAAAGCAGTCTATGTGAAACAAGTTAATTTAATTATTATTGTAAGATGTGTTTGTATATTTTCTTGGAAAATTACAATAACAATGTGGTAGAAGAATGCATTTAATGTTTTACTTGAAGCACTTTTAGTCCACTGTTTAGGACAGAGTCATATATGTAGTGAATTTTATATGGCTACAGCGTAGTCCTTCAGTTTGCAATCTAAAAGGTGCTAAAGAAAATGAAAGTGGAGAGAAGAGAAAGCTTTTTGACACTAGTTTTATAGTCCAGTGTCCTTATAATGGTGTAGTATAATGTACTGCATCAGCCTTCCATTACCTCATTTGCAATATGAGTAATATAAATATCCTGAGAAGCACTTTAATTACCCGTTGGGTTGCTCTCTGCTTTTGGTTTAAAACCCATGCTCTGTTCATGTCCAGCATTTATTTTTAAAATGTTAACTATTACATCTGGCCCGGCCATAGGTTTTTAAAATTCTTGTGTGTTATTGTCTTCGTGTGAGTTATACTAATTGTATTGTTTATTTTGCTTATTGCTTGTTGTTTTTATTGATGTGTTGTTGGGCTTGGCCTCATGTAAGCCGCTCCGAGTCCCTTGGGGAGATGGTGGCGGGATATAAATAAAGTTTTATATTATTATTATTATTATTATTATTATTATTATTATGAGTGAACAAAACCTGCAATACAGTAAGTGTGGAGGTGGAAGGGGAAGAACATCAAGGCAACATGTACCATACTTTCAAGTGTGACCTGTAACATGTTCTTCCTCTTCTTCATTTGGTGTTAGAAGTTCAACTGAGTTCCTTGTCAAGTCAGGAGTTGTTTGTCAACTTTGTTGGTCTTTGCTGGTATATAAGACAATAACTTTTTAGAAATAGGAAAGCACTAGTCATTTAATTCTCTTTTTATTTCTTTTAACAGAATTGAAAAGATCTTTATATGCACTATTTTCTCAATTTGGCCACGTAGTGGACATTGTAGCTCTGAAAACAATGAAAATGAGAGGACAAGCCTTTGTTATATATAAAGAGCTTGGCTCATCCACCAATGCCTTGCGACAGTTACAAGGCTTTCCATTTTACAGCAAACCAATGGTAAGTATGAGATTTTATTGCACACATGGTACAAACAGTAATGTGGTGAAGTGCTTATATCTAAAAAAAAAAGTCTTTGTTGTTGTAATGTTATTCTTGAAATGCACACTGCATATATACATTCTTCAGTTGGTGTATCCTCACAAGACTTAGCATTGCTGTACAACTTGTTTTTGGATTTTGTGAATGCACCCGTTGTGTTCCAGTATCACTTATACCAAAAACAAAACAGAAATAGCCCTAATAATCCTCAAGGAGAGTTGATCATCCTCTAGAACCAGAGGTCTTCAACCTAAGGCCCGGGGGCCAAATGCGGCCCTCCAAGGTCATTTACCTGGCCCTCGCTTAGGGTCAACCTAAGTCTGTAATGATTTGAAAGCACACAACAACAACAACAACAACAACAATCCTATCTCATCAGCCAAAAGCAGGCCCACACTTCCCATTGAAATACTAATAAATTTATATTTGTTAAAATTGTTCTTCATTTTAATTATTGTATTGTTTTTAAGTGGTTTTTGCACTACAAATAAATGCAGTGTGCATAGGAATTAATTCATGTTTTTTTTAAAATTATAATCTGGCCCTCCAACAGTTTAAAATTATAAACCTGGCCCTCTGTTTAAAAAGTTTGAGGACCCCTGCTCTAAACCAGGCATAGGCAAGCTTTGCCCTCCGGTGTTTTGAACTTCAACTCCCAGAAATCCTAGCCAGCTTACTTGCTGTTAGGAATTGTGGGAGTTGAAGTCCAAAACACCTGAAGGGTCAAGTTTGCCTATGCCTGGTAGAAAAAGACTTTCTGTAAGTTGACAGGGAATGTGAATGCAGCACATAGACCGGATTGTCATTTCTAGTAGCAAGTGTGTTCTTGAGTATCTGATTGAACTTAATGTAGTATTTTCATTTAAATAGCGCATTCAGTATGCAAAAACAGACTCTGATGTAATTTCTAAAATGCGTGGCACATTCGCTGATAAGGAGAAGAGAAGAGAGAAAAAGAAAACCAAGTCTTTGGAACAGTCGGCCAATGCTGCAAAAAAGCCAAATCAGGTAATGTAGACTTGTAGATTTTCTGTCCAAGTCTGTTTGTAAAAACCCTTCACCAAGGAATAGGCAGACTGATGATTGCCTACTACCTTCATAATGTGAATAATAATGGTTAATTATTTGCAGCGCATACTGAAAAGAAGTATGGTTTAAGTTCAGTTTTTTAATTTTTTTAAAATGAGATATATGAATCAACAAAACAATTTGGGGGCAAATTTCATTTATGAAATACTTAAACCGGAGAAGCTCTTCATATACTATTGCATTCAATGTCACAGCAGTCTAGACAGCATAGCCAATGGTGATGAATGTTGAGAGTTGCAGTTGAAGAATGCTGCATTAATTCACTCTTTCTATCTGATTTCAGTCCCTGACTTAAACTTATTTTGAATTTTAGAGCTAAGTAATGAATTTGAATTCTGATAGCTTCAGGCAAATAGGAATTGGCAAGAATTTTTTTTACTGTAATGTTTCAGTTGAGGACGTACTATCTACCTTTTGCCACATTTGTAGGTCTTAGAAATATAACTTTTGAGATTACAATTCTTGTAATTCCAAAACCAACATGGCCATTGGTAGTTGTAGTCCACACATAAGATTAAATTCTGAACAAATAAGCAAAGGAATGGTGAAATCTTGCCTATTTGGGTATCAGCAGCTTGTGTTATTGAAAGAAAAGTATTTAAGGAATTCAGGGTTGTTGTTTTTCAAAGTTATTTGGTATTACTTGACTGTCTTACCATTCTAAAAAACAATAACAACACTGTCTCTTGTGCGTGAAACAAAAGAGTAGAGATGTTGATAGCCCCAAAAAAATCACAAATAGTTTGTGTGAACTAACTATTCATATACAGTATGTGTTTTGTTTTTTAAGCTGGAGCCTCTTAGAATATGGTTTTATACACACTCTTAACACACTGAATTAATTCAGTGTTCTTTAAAACCGGAACTGTAACACACACTCATATATACAATATTGACTGTTTTTATTTCTTAATAGGGAGCAAATCAGAATTCAGCGACCACCCAGGCAAACTCACAAAACCAACAGGTAATTCTTATCGTCTTTATCAGTTGCATCTGAATGGATATGCAGCTTTAGGAGATAGAAGTTAACTTAGCAACTTAGCAGTACCTTTAAAAACCTATGATACAGAAACATTTCATTTGTGCTAGATAACATCTTGGTGTTATCAGACAGGCACAATAAGACAATATTACACATGCCACATCATGAGGAGACAGCAAAGCCTAGAGAAGACAATGATGCTGGGGAAAGTGGAAGGCAAAAGGAAGAGGGGCCGACCAAGGGCAAGATGGATGGATGGCATCCTTGAAGTGACTGGACTGACCTTGAAGGAGCTGGGGGTGGTGACGGCCGACAGGGAGCTCTGGCGTGGGCTGGTCCATGAGGTCACGAAGAGTTGGAGATGACTGAACAAATGAGCAACAACATTATAACTGTTAATTTATATAAAATCAGAAATTGCATTGTGTCTATTCAGGGCTGGAATCCAATTGCTTCTGATTGTTTAGGATACCGGTTTAGCATTTGTGAGAAAATGGCAGACCCAACTAAACCTGACCATAAGTGAGATGGAAACCTAAGTCATAATGCCCTTCATTTATTCTATTCTGAGGACTTTGAGCAAAAATAATTTGTCTCTGTGTGTGTGTGTCTCAGAGAGAAATTGTGCATATACATGTGCATATCCTGGCATACTAAAAAAATTATTGAGTTCGACCCTGCCCAGCCTAATGTGTTTTAATGTTTGATTTGCTTTTGCTGTTCGTTTATTATATTGGGTTTATGTATTTTATTTCTGGTTTTGTTATGCTTTTGTGTTATTACTGTATTTTTGGACGTGGCCTCATGTAAGCCGAGTCCCCCTGGGGGAGATAGAGCGGGGTATAAATAAAGTTTTATTATTTATTTATTATGATATCCTGGCATACTCACATGCACAAATGTGTACATGCATGTTTGTTAAAAGGGTCCTGTTTCCCCCACCACCGCCACCATATTCATTGAATGAATACATGAAGGAGACCATGTGAAATGGCCTCACTGATTCAGCAGTCCACCAATCTGTTTGTTAAACAAACTGTTGCACTTCCTCATGCTGAGTAGTTTTGTACCTACAACATCATCTTTTGACATTTTTTCCTGTCATCTTTTAAAAAATTAAAATGACAACATAATTAAAAAGAAAATAGCAGAAAAAAAAGAAATTGCATAGCAATAAACACTAAGCAAACGCTGAAAGACAAAACTGATCAACTGCTAGTTTGTATTTTACAGAAATAATTTGCACACAAACTAGAATGTTTCAATACAAATACATTCATACAAGTTAAATTGGCTCAAAAAAGCCAAAGGCACTGATAATAATGATAATAATAAATTACGCTCTTGCCAATTTGTTGGCTGTGATCAGTCGGAGAATTAGCAGCATGATGGGATAAGTGTATACATGAAAGTGAATAGAATCCTTGGAAATAATGTTTTTTGTTGCATAGTATCCTTTATCCTTTGTTTGTGTTATTGCAGGTGCCTGATAATCCACCAAACTATATACTTTTCCTCAACAATTTGCCAGAAGAGACAAATGAAATGATGTTGTCAATGCTGTTCAACCAGTAAGTATATCTAGAAATAGATGCAATTCTGTGTTTGTAAAATATGCTTCAGCTGTGATTCTGTGTTGGTTTTTTCGACGTTGAATTCCACCGAGATGGATGAGATTTTAGGCTTTGACACTGCTCCCCCTCCCCCATTGAATTTCTGTAAATCTTTCATGAAAAAATGTAGTCTCATGGCCTTTAGCACTTTCCATTCTCTCAGTCTGATGCTTTTATACTAAATTGGAAGAAAGGAAGTGGAATAAAAACACCAATTGCTTAATCTGAAACTTAATAGTAAGCTTCTTACTTAATGTTGTTCCTGTCCTTATAGAGAGCAAGGGTTGAAGATGATAGACTCCAGAACCCTGATAATTCATGAGGATAATTATTCCTGCCAGGGCCATAGCCAGAAAAAAATTTCGGGAGGGGTTGAAATTTTCAGGGGGGGGGGGTTTGAAAATTTCGCGGGGGGGGGGGGGTTGAAACCTGCCTCCTAGCTCACGCTGAAGCAAAGAGCATAGCAGGGGGCAGTCAATAGCCTGCAGCTCCGCCCCTGTCAACCACCTCCACCAAGCCTGGCCTCCTTAATGAGAGCATTCAACACCCCCCCCCCAACTTGGTTGCTTCGCTACATCGGCTATTGCTGCAAGTAATGACAGTTGAATAAATTGTCAATATTTGCTTGAGATAGTGCTTGCAGTTCTGGAGGGACTCTTAATTTTTTGCATAGATTTAGCATGGGGATTTGGTTAACCAGTTAAAATTCATGAGTAACCAGTTTTTTTCGGGGGGGGGTTAACCCCTAACCCCCCCCCCCCTCGCTACAGGCCTGATTCCTGCCCATATGAAGATTGAAGATGAAAGGATGGGAGTAGTACACACTTTCCTAAAGTAGCCAATGAAGTGATTGTCTATAGATTGCTTCATTCTGACCTTTCTTTAGTGGATATTTCTCCTTCAAATTCAACTGGAGCCAGGCCCGTAGCCAGGATTTTGATTTGAGGGGGGGGGGGGGGGGGGGGGGGGGGGGGGGCTGAGTCTGAGTGAAAGAGGGTCTACCCTAGCAAACCTTTTGTATCATTACCCCAATACCCCCATGCATATGGGATCTATTGAGCATGGTGATCAGATCATGATATGAATAAACATAACAGTTTAAATAATGCACCAGTAAGGCCTTCTCGCGGACCACCATGAGAATTTCAGCTACATGCCTGACTGGAGGGATTCATTTTTATACTATGAAAGGATTTGGCTTTTAGAAATATGAACCATCCGCCTTGGGGTTTTATAATTTTTTGAATAATTGATGGTTTGGGAATACATAATATACTTAAGAGACCCATACATTGATGGTAGCTGGTATGTTTTGTGTTATTTACAAGGTGCCTTCAAGTAAATCTGGCAAAATTCCAACCTAAAGTCTGGTTGGTGTGTTTTTACTTGTTGATTTTGATAATTCTGATTTTAATTGTTTGGTTTTAATTGCAATTGTTTATTTTGATATATGTGTGTATGGCAGGATTTCAGTAAGGCCTTCGACAAGGTCCCCCATGACCTTCTGGCAAGGAAACTAGTCCAATGTGGGCTAGGCAAAACTATGGTGAGGTGGATCTGTAATTGGTTAAGTGGACGAACACAGAGAGTGCTCACTAATGCTTCCTCTTCATCTTGGAAAGAAGTGACGAGCGGAGTGCCGCAGGGTTCCGTCCTGGGCCCGGTCCTGTTCAACATCTTTATTAATGACTTAGATGAAGGGTTAGAAGGCATGATCATCAAGTTTGCAGACGACACCAAATTGGGAGGGATAGCCAATAGTCCAGAGGACAGGAGCAGGATTCAAAACGATCTTGACAGATTAGAGAGATGGGCCAAAACTAACAAAATGAAGTTCAACAGTGACAAATGCAAGATACTCCACTTTGGCAGAAAAAATGAAATGCAAAGATACAGAATGGGGGACGCCTGGCTCGAGAGCAGTACGTGTGAAAAAGATCTTGGAGTCCTCGTGGACAACAAGTTAAACATGAGCCAACAATGTGATGCGGCAGCAAAAAAAGCCAATGGGATTTTGGCCTGCATCAATAGGAGCATAGTGTCTAGATCTAGGAAAGTAATGCTACCCCTCTATTCTGCTTTGGTTAGACCACACCTGGAATATTGTGTCCAATTCTGGGCACCACAATTCAAGAGAGATATTGACAAGCTGGAATGTGTCCAGAGGAGGCGACTAAAATGATCAAGGGTCTGGAGAACAAGCTCTGTGAGGAGCGGCTTAAGGAGCTGGGCATGTTTAGCCTGAAGAAGAGAAGCATGAGAGGAGATATGATAGCCATGTATAAATATGTGAGAGGAAGCCACAGGGAGGAGGACTAGTCCTTGGTTTCTGCCTCCTTGGAGACTAGGACGCGGAACAATGGCTTCAAACTACAAGAGAGGAGATTCCATCTGAACATGAGGAAGAACTTCCTGACTGTGAGAGCCGTTCAGCAGTGGAACTCTCTGCCCAGGAGTGTGGTGGAGGCTCCTTCTTTGGAAGCTTTTAAACAGAGGCTGGATGGCCATCTGTCAGGGGTGATTTGAATGCAATATTCCTGCTTCTTGGCAGGGGGGTTGGACTGGATGGCCCATGAGGTCTCTTCCAACTCTTTGATTCTATGATTCTATTCATTTTTCCCCACTTTCATGAGGACACTGTGTCCTTTACCACAGAAATAGTGGAGGTCTAACTGTCCTCAAAAGGAAGTATTGAAAATATTACTGCATTGAATGAGAGTTTGTAAACATAGATTAGCATGTTAATTGTGAAGTGTTCCTACCTTTACCCTCTAAACCCAGTTTGTAATCCCTGCATGTCAAACCCATTTCCCATTGCGTTGTAACTATGTTCCTAAGTCCTTTGGCATGTTTTTCTTGGAAGAATCTTCCTGTAGCATTCACCTTCGTTTCTCAAATACGACTTTCAATTTTCAGAACTTATTGGAAGAGAGAGTTAGAAAAATGAGATTAGCTTTCAAGAACCTGAGCTTCATGATAAATATTTCTCTCCCAAGGTTCCCTGGTTTCAAAGAAGTGCGTCTGGTCCCTGGCAGACATGACATTGCGTTTGTGGAGTTTGAAAATGAAGGTCAGGCGGGAGCAGCCCGGGATGCCCTCCAAGGATTTAAAATCACCCCATCACATGCCATGAAAATTACTTATGCAAAGAAGTGATGGAAATGACCTGCGATTGTCAAAGGACTTGCTCTCATTTTTTTCTTTCAATATGTTATTAATTTTTTTTTGATAGCTTGAAGTTTGGTTCCTTTTTTTTAAGGGAAATACCTTTTGCAGAGTTGATGGAAGTCAGTAGACAACTGTAAGGATTCTGAATACATTCAAGGAATGCTAACTACAGATGATGGACATTTTGTTTATGTATATAGGTCAGTGACCTTATGTTCTTCACAATAAAGTTGCCTATTTGTAAAAGATGCTGCATTTTATTTCCTAATAATAATAATAATAATAATAATAATAATAATAATTTTATTTATACCCCGCCACCATCTCCCCAATGGGGACTTGGAGTGGCTTACATGAGGCAAAGCCCAAACAACAAGTTACAATAAAATAAAACTGAAAATGCAAACAATAAACAACAACAACATAATTACATAGAACATGTGAAAACATAGCAATATAAAATTACAGTAGGCACAATCACAATGACAATGGGCGAGTTACATGTCATGGTTAAAAGAGAGACTGATTAAAAACCAATTAAAAACTTGGGTGAGATAAAATGAGAAACAGGTTATTTGCGGCAGAGGGCTCATTATAATGGGGGTTGTGGAATCAAGCTTCCCTACGGGGGGGGGGGGCGGGATTTATACTCCAATGACAGAATGTTGAGGCTAAACAATGGTGTGAGGTTGTAAACCTACTCACCAAAGGCGCAACGGAAGAGCCAGGTTTTAAGGTCCTTTTTAAAGGTTTCTAGGGTAGGTGCTTTTCCTAAGACGGGAAGGAATCCGTGGGGCAGTTTTACTTTGTCCAAATTGTTATGATGGAATTACATAGAAACTTGACATTCTTGAAAAATGATAGCAATATATTCTGCCTTTGGTTAGACTTCACCTGGAATACTGTGTCCAATTCTGGGCACCACAGTTGAAAAGAGATATTGACAAGCTGGAAGGTGTCCAGAGGAGGGCAACTAATTATCAAAGGGCCAGAGACCATAAATCCCCTTGAGGAGCTGAGCATTTTTAGCCTACAGAAGAGATGTTTTGGAAGAGGCATGATCACCATATTTAAATATCTGAAAGGATGTCATAAGGAAGTGGGGGAAGGCTTGTTTTCAGCTGCCCTGGAAAGTAGGACTCAATGGAGCAATGGGTTCAAATTTCAGGAAAGGAGATTCCACTTGAACATTAGGAAGAACTTCCTGACTATAAGAACTGTTCAACAGTGGAACTCACTGCCTCGGAGTCTGGATGCCCATCTGTCAGGGTGCTTTGATTGAGCTTTTCCTGCATGGCAGGGGGTTGGACTGGGTGGCCTGTGTGGTCTCTTCCAACTCTATGATTCTATTTAATGCTAATCCTATGATACTTTGGAGGAGACTTATGTTTCCAAATCCAAGGTACTACATTCTACTCACTTGTATCTTTTAACTCTATGCCCTGATGACTAGATTCCATGTACTACTTGCAGAAATATCCCCGAGGCCTGTAACAGAAAGAGTTCCCCAACACTGCTGTAGAATATGATTTGACTACATATGATGACCTGATAGGAGGCTATATCTGTCATGTAGCTTGCTCTGAACAATAAAGGAATGTTTTTCTTTCCATATATTGTAACTAGCTGTCCCCTGCCACGCGTTGCTGTGCCCCAGTCTGTTGATCTGGAAAATAAAGTAATGGTTTCTAATCTATGTAATGTCTTGATTTTTAGCTTCTCTGGAGACTAGGACACGAAACAATTAGGGCTGGGTGGTTTCGTTTCGTTAATTCGTAATTCGTTAAAAATTCGTTATTTTTTTTAACGAAGCGATAACGAACCATTCTGGAGCAACTTAAAAACGAAACGAATTTTTCAATTCGTTTCGTAAATGCTTCGTATTTCGTTATGTATTCGTTTCGTTATTGGTTTGAGGTCGTTTCGTTATTATTTCCGCATGTCTGGGGCAAGTTTTATAGTTGTTTTTTGTTTAATTAGTGAAAAAAAAATTATAATATCACACCAACAGTCAACAACAGAGGGAGAGGGAAGCTTCAGAAGTTCCCCCTGTCCCATTTGGAGGTTTTTTAGCGTATTGCGCGGTCGCGTCCGCCATTAACGAATCGATTCGTTATTGTTTCGTTATTGTTTCGTTATTGTTTTGTAATTTTTTACCATTTACGAAATTTCGTAAATATCGAACTTTTTAAAAGAAAATTTGGAATTCTTTTAAATATCGAAACGCAAAAAACCCCAAAAAACGAATCGATTTTAGAAACAAATTTTTCCGTTGTTACCTAGGCCTAGTAAAAATGTGGTAGCCTTGTTGTTTCTTTGTCAGTGTTGATGTGGAGAGTGTCTGGTTTGCCTACTTTGGAATATGCAACATATCATAGTCCTTATTTAAGGGTCTCTTTCAAGTCTATGATACTATATCTGTTTGTGTGAGAATCATATCTATCTATCTATATTTATGACTGGATGGCTCTTTGTCAGGAGGGCTCTGATTACATTTTCTTGCCCTGTTGAAGAGAGTTGGACTGGATGGCCTTATATTGTCCTTCTTTAGGGGTCCCTTTCAAATCTATGATATCTAGTGTGTGTGTGAATCATATCTATCTCATCTCTATCTATGGCTGGATGGCTCTTTGTCAGGAGGACTTTGTTTACGTTTTCTTGGATGGAGGCCTTAAGTATTTTCTGTTGGTCATGGGGGTTCTGTGTGGGAAGTTTGCCGCTAAGAAAAAAAATAAAAAAAAAAATTTAAAAAAAGCAACAAAAAACAAAACAATTCTATCGTTGGTGGGGTTCAGAATGCTCTTTGATTGTAGGTGAACTATAAATCCCAGCAACTACAACTCCCAAATGTCCAGGTCTATTTTCCCCAAACTCCATCAGTGTTCACATTTGGGCATATTGAGTATTTGTGCCAAGTTTGGTCCAGATCATCATTGTTTGAGTCCACAGTGCTCTCTAGATATAGGTGAACTACAACTCCAAAACTCAAGGTCAATGCCCACCAAACCCTTCTAGTGTTTTCTGTTGGTTAGGGGAGTCCTGTGTGTCCAGTTTGGTTCAATTTCATCGTTGGTGGAGTTCAGAATGCTCTTTGATTGTAGTGAACTATACATCCCAGCAACTACAACTCCCAAATGACAAAATCATATTTTTGAGTGATGGTCACTCCTTGTGTTGTGAAACGTTTTGTTGCCAAATTTGGTGTGATTTTGTTCATTGGTTCTTAAGGTACTCATTATGCACAGAGCATTTATATATATATAGATGTATCTCTTGTTGGAGACTTTCACATTAATAGAATGCATCTGAAGGAATAAGTTCTTGTCTTCGTCCCAGGTCTTTGTGAAGACAGGCATATCAGAAAGGCTATGTTGTATTTAAAGGGAATATCAATCATGCTATATACCACGGAACCTTTGTTTTGAGATATTTTGACATACATCTCCAATAGGTTATGCACAACTAGTGGAGTAGTCCATAAGTAGTGCTGCCCAGAGACATCAGATTATTTAAAATGGGGGGGGGGGTCTTTCAAGATTTTTTGGGCAACAGTTCACTCAATCACATTGCTGGCGCTTCTGGGTGATAATCAAAAGAATTGGAGAGCCAATTTTCCCACACCTGATTTAAACCATCACTTCTTCCAATTCCCACTCTTGTTTTTTAATATCTACATGAGGTCATCCGAAGTTTTGGAGTTGGGTGCCATCTGTATGCAGATGACACCCAACTCTACTACTAATTTCCACCGAATTCCAAGGAAGCCTCCCAGACCTTGAACCAGTGTCTGACTGCTGTGATGGACTGGATGAGGGCTAACAGGTTGAAGCTTAATCCAGACAAGACAGAGGTCCTCCTGGTCAGTTGTGGGGCCGACCGGGGTATTGGGTGGCAACCTGTGCTCGACGGGGTTACACTCCCCCTGAGGGCGCAGGTCCGTAGCTTGGGGGTCCTCCTGGACTCAACGCTGTCACTTGATGCTCAGGTGTCGGCGGTGGCCGGGAGGGCCTTTGCACAACTTAAACTCGTGCGCCAGCTGTGACCATACCTCATGAAGTCTGACTTGGCCAGCGTGGTCCATGCCTTGGTTACATCAGATTGGACTATTGCAATGCGCTCTATGTGGGGCTGCCCTTGAAGATGGCCCGGAAGCTCCAACTGGTACAACGGGTGGCAGCCAGGCTCCTTACTGGAGCAAACTATAGGGAGCATACAACGCCCCTTTTAAAACAGCTTCACTGGCTGCCAGTAAGTTGCCAAGCCAAATTCAAGGTGCAGGTTATGACCTATAAAGCCCTAAATGGTTCGGGCCCCGCATATCTTCGTGATCGCATCTCCCTCTATAAACTGGCGCAAACTTTAAGATCTTCTGGGGAGACCCTCCTTTCGCTCCCACCACCGTCACAAGCACGGTTGGTGGGGACAAGAGAGAGGGCCTTCTCAGTGGTGGCCCCCCAACTCTGGAATGCCTTTTCTAGAGAAATAAGACAGGCCCCATCCCTCCCCCCTTTTGTAAGAGCTTGAAGACCTGGTGGTTTAAACAAGCCTTTGAGGACGACTAGTTCTAGCTCAGCCCCAGATACTGTTGAATATGGCCATATCTTTTTCTACCAATTACCCAGGTTACTTCCTCCTATTAGGCCCTGGAAATGAACAGCCATAGACTCTACCTAATTTCCTGGGCCCTCTACAAATCGCAGTAGCCCGGCCTGGCCTTTTAAACTGCCTTGATCAGGCATGATTATTTTAAATATATGTGCTATTGTGGTTTTAATGCCTATATTTTCTTGTTAATTTTATGTTTATGCCGTTTTTTCTTGTATGTATTGTTTATGTTACTTGGAAACTGCTCTGAGTCCCCTTGGAGAAGTTTTGTTATTGTTGTTTCTGTTTTCTGCAAAATCAAGAAACTGTCATTGGTTAAAAGTCAGGAAATTGAGATTAAGAAACACATTTATGCTATTGATTTATTAATATGCGGTTACAAGAGGGAGGCCTGAACTTGTGACAGCTTCAGAATACAGAATGAAGTGTAATGATGCTGACACAAGCCACACATAATATGCTCAATTGATTAGAAATTACTTCAGTTGTTAATAAAACAGTAAAATGAACTTGAATTAATTTAATACAGAGAAACCAACTTCTTACAACTGGGTAATTTGTACATTCAAACAAATTGGAATCAGTTTCAGTCAATTTGTAGATCTGAATATTTGGACAGGTCAGCAAACAGCGGTTGGCTGAATGTAGTAGCAAATCCTTATCTCTTACAATCTGCTGTTACGTCTAGTCCTTATAGATAAAGGTAAAGGTTTTCCCCTGACATTAAATCCAGTTGTGTGCAACTCTAGAGGTTGGTGCTCATCTCCATTTCTAAGCCGAAGAGCCAGCAATGTCCATAGACACCTCCAAGGTCAAGTGGCCGGCATGACTGCATAAAGCGCCATTACCTTCCCGCCGGAGCGGTACCTATTGATCTACTCACACTTTGCATGTTTTTGAACTGCTATTTTAGCAGAAGCTGGGGCTCATGCTACTCCTCGGATTCGAACCTGCGACCTTTCGATCATTGAAGGTACAAATGCAAACAATGCCAACAGGGAGAAAAAAATAAGAGAAGTCTAAAAAAAACAAAACAAAACAAATACCAAGAATGGATGTCCAAAGAAGTTTCAACTGAAGGGTCACGGCGCTCCCTGGATTCGAACCTGCAACCTTTCAGTCAGCAAGTTCAGCAACTCAGTGCTTTAACCCACTGCACCACTGGGGGTTATATGATACTACTATGCTCTCAGCAATGGAAATGAGGTTTATTAGGAAATTAAATGTTTTAAAATGTTAAGCTTTTGGTAAAGCGGGAGTTTAAACAGCACAGAGGTCTGCCTTTTGCACAAATAAATTATAGCATTTATTGTCCTGCTATTTTTGTGACTGCCACAAACTATGTTGAATTGGTTGAGAGTCAATGAGATATTCATTAAAAAGCACTAGCAAAACGTGCTGCAGGATGTCCCACAAGAAGCAAAGTTTTTTTTGCAGTCTAATAAACTTCCCATGTTTTTATGATAGAACCAATTAGGACAGTGGTTCTCAACCTTCCTAATGCCATGACCCCTTAATACCGTCCCTCATGTTATGGTGACCCCCAACCATATTATTGTTTTCGTTGCTACTTCATAACAGCCATTTTACTACTGTTATAAATCATAATGTAAATATCTGATATGCAGGATACATTTTCATTCACTGGACCAAACTGGGCACAAATACCCAATACACCCAAATGTGAATGCTAGTGGGGTTGGGGGAGGATTGGTTTTGTAATTTGGGAGTTGTGGTTGCTGGGATTTATAGTTCACTTATAATCAAAGAGCATTCTGAACTCCACCAGTGATGGATTTGAACCAAACTTGGCTCCCATGACCAATTGAAAACACTGGAAGGGTTTGATGGGTATTGACCTTGAGTTTGGGAGTTGTAGTTCACCTATATCCAGGGAGCACTGTGGACTCATGCAATAGTGGATCTAGACCAAACTTGGCACAAATACTCAATATGCCCAAATGTGAACACTGGTGGAGTCTGGGGAAAATAGATCTTGACATTTGGGAGTTGTAGTTGCTGGGATTTATAGTTCATTACAATCAAAGAATATTCTGAACTCCACCAACGATAGAATTGGCTCAAACTTCCCACATGGAATCCCCATGACCATCAGAAAATACTGTGTTTTCTTATGGTCTTTGGAGACCCCTCTTACACCCCCTCGCAACCCCTTCAAGGGACCCGACCCCCAGGTTGAGAAACACTGAATTAGGAAATAACATTTATAAACCAGGAACAAAAATCATGTTATATAGTGTAATCAACAGATTATTAATTTTCTGTTCTTTTGCAAAATATGCTCAATGTAATTTGAAGAACATTGTCTCGAACAGTCTGTGGAGCAGGGAGCAAGGCCTCAAGGGTCCCTCTGCAAAAAAAGGATGGAATGTTGCCCTCATCGCTTCCCATTGGCCAGAGAGGTGGTTCCCTGCAGACTAATGTGAAAGAGTTTCTATAAAAGAGATCCATTCCTCCACTTCTGTCGCATTTATGAAAGGGAGAGCAAGGCACTTGCGAATGAGAGGACGGGCAAAGAAAATGTCACACACTGTTCGTTTGCTGATATTTCTTCTGTCTCTAGGATTTACATTCCAGATCGCAAAGGGCATTTTTATGGACAAACTTGCCAGCAAGAAGCTGTGTGCGGATGAGGAGTGTTTGTGTAAGTCTCTCTCCTGTTTGTTTACCTGTCTGCTTTGAATGTGCACTCTGGAGACCTAAAAATTTCTGGACTTCTTTAACTGCAATTGCCCCTTTCCTAAGTCAAGCTGTGGGTATCTTAACGAAAGCCCTGGGTATATGTTATCTGACCTCAAGAGGCTCGTAGGAATCTGTGCTTTGGAAAGGAACTGTAGCTGATGATTCAGACAGTTCTCTTGATTTGTATGAAGGTGAAAGGCTATACCTGCAGATTTACAGGTTTGTTTTTGTGTTTTTGATCCCACAGATGCCATTTCCTTGGCAAGAGCAGAAGACGACTATAATGCACCGGACTGCCGATTTATTAATATTAAAAAGGGAGAATTGGTCTATGTTTACTCCAAGCTTGTACCAGAAAGAGGAGCTGGAGAATTTTGGGCTGGAAGCGTAAGAATTTTCAATATATAAACAGGATATTTACCTTTTCTTAGCTATTTACTTAGCGCACGCAATTTAAAGAGGTGTCAGAATCCTTGAAAGGCAAAGAAGCAGGAAAAATATTCAAAATTCTTCTTTTCAGGGAAGGTCAGACAGGGCTCAGACATAGCACAAGTAATTTCTTTGTATTGTCGAAGGCTTTCATGGCTGGAATCACTGGGTTGTTGTAGGTTTTTTCGGGCTGTATGGCCATGGTCTAGAGGCATTCTCTCCTGACGTTTCGCCTGCATCTATGGCAAGCATCCTCAGAGGTAGTGAGGTCTGTTGGAACTAGGAAAAAGGGGTTTATATATCTGTGGAATGACCAGGGTGGGACAAAGGACTCTTGTCTGCTGGAGCTAGGTGTGAATGTTTCAACTGACCACCTTGATTAGCATATAATGGCCTGACAGTGCCTGAGCAAACTTTTGTTGAGAGGTGATTAGATGTCCTTGTTTGTTTCCTCTCTGTTGTTGTGCTGTTGTAATTTTAGAGTTTTTTAATACTGGTAGCCAGATTTTGTTCATTTTCATGGTTTCCTCCTTTCTGTTGAAATTGTCCACATGCTTGTGTATTTCAATGGCTTCTCTGTGTAGTCTGACATGGAGGTTGTGAGAGTGGTCCAGCATTTCTGTGTTCTCAAATAAAATGCTGTGTCCAGGTTGGTTCATCAGGTGCTCTGCTATGGCTGATTTCTCTGGTTGAAGTAGTCAGCACAACACTAATCAAGGTGGTCAGTTGAAACATTCACACCTAGCTCTAGCAGACAAGAGTCCTTTGTCTCACCCTGGTCATTCCACAGATATATAAATCTTTTTGCTTAGTTCCAACAGACCTCACTACCTCTGAGGATGCTTGCCAAAGTGCAGGCGAAACGTCAGGAGAGAATGCCTCTAGACCATGGCCATACAGCCCGAAAAAGCCTACAACAACCCAGTAATTTCTTTATTTATAAGGTGCCACTTTTTGGAATGGCATGGACGCAACACTGATATTTTCAAAAATAATGTGACATTGAATTTTAGTGTTACAAATAATGTTTACTCACTCCTTCAAAAATATTTTAAGTGATATTTTGAAGAATTTGGGAACATTTTGTCCAATTTTTTTTTGCATTTTGAATAATTATCAAATAAAAAGTAATGAATCAGCAATGCTACTTCTTATTTATGAATAAATAATAGATTTTTAAAAATTAACTTTATTTTAAAAGGTTTTAAACATTACATTAAAAGTCAAAAAAGTGAAACAACAATCCTAAACTTGTATTAGTTCTACGTTCTAGGTTCAGGTATATATCCTTTCCTTCTACTGTGGAGCATTTTGGGGCTGCAGTGGCTCAGTGGGTTAAACCACTGAGCTGCTGAACTTGCTGATCGGAAGGTCGGTGATTTGAATCCACAGAGCGGGGTGAGCTCCCACTGTTAGCCCCAGCTTCTTCCAACCTAGCAATTCGAAAACATGCAAGTGTGAGTAGCTCAGTAGGCACTGCTTATGTGGGAAGGTAATGGTGCTCCAGGCAGTCATGCCGGCCACATGACCTTGGAGGTAGCTATGGTCAACGTCGGCTCTTTGGCTTAGAAATGGAGATGAGCACCACCACCTCCCCCCACCCCCCAACTAGACTTAATGTCAGCGAAAACCTTTACCTTTACTTATGGAGCCTTTTGGGACAAAAAAACAATGGGATGAGAAAGCAAAAAGATCTCCGAATCTTCTCAAAAAAGCCTGAAATGCTTCAATGCAGCAAGAAAGACCATTTTTTTATATTATATTTCCTTATATCCCTTATATTTTCCTTATATTTCCTTGTATATTGAAGAGGGGACTGTTTTATGCTTAGGGTCAATTGGCTCAGAGCTACTGTGAATCAAGAAGGAGAATTGGATTGAAATTATTTATTAAAAACATTCCCAGTTGCATGAAAACAAGCAGCCTTTGTCCATGTTGTCACCTATGCAGGATGAGCATTCACAGCAGCATACAATACCAGTTTTGGAAAATAAAATTATTGCAGTGAATTGAAGATTTAAACTTCCCCAATCCATTAGTGTTGATCCTATACTGGATGCAACCAATGTTTATTGCTTTGTAGTCCACAGAAATTCATTACCATAATTGCATGCACACACATATAATCCCTTTTTCAAAAGATGATTGATCAGAAAAACAACATGTTTCATTAGTACTTTATGATAATCAAACTAATTTCAAATGATATATAAAAAGACAGCTGCAGTCCTTGCTCCCAAAAGAAAATCAAGCTTGTTTACAATGAATAATAATGATGTTTAATTCTGTACTTGAATGTATCTTCTTCAGGTTTACGGTCAGCATTATGAGGACGAGATGGGCACTGTTGGTTATTTCCCCAGGAATTTAGTCACAGAACAGCATGTCTATCAGGAAGCAAATGAGACAGTTGCCACAAAGGTAAAAGAACATTTAAAAATGAACTAGTTACATTAATGTTGCCACACAAATATTTTGGTCTAGCTCATCATTGCACTGCCATCACCGGTAGTCACAGCAAAGAAAGTGGATACGACAATTCAAAGATGGCTGTGACAATGTCCATGATGAGGACCGCAAAATGTGAAAGTGGGTACGACAATTCAAAGATGGCCGTGACAACGTCCATGATGAGGACCGCTCCTGTCGCCCTTCTTTACAGACAATTTGGTGGCTTCAGTTGAAGCGAGGATTCGTGGGAACAGGTGCTTCACAATAACAATAATAAAAATCTTTGAATTGTCATACCCACTTACGCACTTTGCTTTTACTCATAACAGTATCACCGTACACTTCACAAATCTGTCGATGAATTTCTGCAGCAGGCAGGTTCCTTGCTGACAAAAACCGTATCACTGAGCGAACCTCACATGCGGAGGTGAGTTGATAGTCTTAAACATTTTTAAAGCACAGAACAGAACCGTACAGGTTAGCTACAGAGCGGAAACTGAGCACAGTTGTTCCTGAGGCATGCCGGTACACGACGCACGCGCTCGTTGTGGTATGCGCGCAAACTACTAGTGTCTACAACAAAACGGACCTTACTTAAAAAATACCCCTCGTATATTTATCCTGCCGATCCTTCCTCTGATTTCTGTATTTTTCTAAATATTTTCTCCATCTTCTTTCTTGATTTTTTCACTGCATTTCCCTTGTTTAAGATAGTAAATAGAAATTGGTGACATTTACTTGAAATATAGCCCATTGCACCCAGTATTCATTGATGCTCTCCCATGCAAGTACTAACCAAGCACGACTATGTCGCTTCGCTGCAATTACTGAATAAACACAGAAGAGCCCCTATTGTCCTTGGCTCTTGCCCTGTACATACTGAGAGACAGACAGATGTCTTTGGGTACAAGTGAGACACTGTGCTTGCTGTTAGATATTCTTCCTGTTGCCAAAAGCTGCCTTTTTTCCTGACTGGGCTATATGCCACTTTCTTTACTTCTGCCTTATTGCTTCCTTTGCAACAGGCATTGCCCAGAAGTAACTTGATCACTTTTTCCATTTTTTATTTGGGTTCTGAAAACAGGATCACTTCCTAAACTTACCTAATTCTTACTTAGATAGGAAATCTCTAGCTGGACTTTATTATTCGGCCTGTTTGCCCAGGTGTTAAGTGCTCTGTTTCATTGAAAATATTTTTTCTTCCCACCCTCCTTTCTTTTTGTGTAATTTTTGGACAACTTTTTTGTCATAGCTTTATTTCTGTTGATCTCTTGACTGACACAGAAGAGTCACCGTTTGATGAGCATGATTTTAAAAATGCCATTAATAAATTACATGCAGAGAAATGTTCTCACAGGTAAACAGAAACCTTGCCATGTTTGAAGGAAACCAAGATGCTGGCAGCCCCATTAATATAACTTTTTATTGGGCAGTAATAATAATAATAACAATAACTCTTACCCATCTCTCCTTGTGGCTCAAGAAGGGT